TGGAACTGTTGTATAATCATTAAATACACAGATTTCACTTGAAAGGAAGTACAGGTACCGTACATGTAAATAACAGCCTCTGTCAATCTGTAAAGTATTTCTGCCCAGAATGCTGTTATTTTTAAGAAAACAAGAACTTCATTCTTTTTTTCTCACGATGGTTGGCTGACCATCGTTTAATTGATTTATTTTACACATCACACGGCTGAGTTTTGTATGTACATGAATGTGTACATGTAGTGTGTGCAGATGTATGTGAGAGTCCAAACAGGTACATGTACGTGTACTGGTAATACTAAAAGTGGCTAAAAACTCACCAGCATAAATTCACCAAATGCAAAGTAAACTAAAACTTGAGGAAACTAAATGTAGGGTACAAAGTAAAGTATAATTTAGACCAGTTTGAAGTTAACTCTTATTTAACAAAAGGATTTCTTCAAGCAAAAGTTGCTCACTCAAAATCATCCTAAAAGCATAATGGTACAGTCCAAACATTGTGGCTGTCTCCGAACTGCATAGCGAGAGGATTTTCATCAACAAAAAGTAAATTTCCAGACGTTAAACCTCCCATGTTTCTAGCTACATATATAATATTCCCACTTTGCCCATAATTATCAATTAGTCAAATCAGAATAGAGTTTTAGACTTCCATTGATGGTCTTGTACAAGTAACATGACAATACTTATTGTATCAGTGTCATAGACAAGAGTCCACTGCATACATGTACAAGTACTTCATACTTTGATGAAGTTCTTTCCTTGAATCCACAGAGCTACTGTACATGTACATTGTTGAACAGATGTATTACTCCGAGGAAGTGATTAAGAGCTGTTGAAAACTGCTCTTTTAAAGGGAAAGAGAACCTGTCATGTCTGTTCTCCACCCTGACCCTGCAGGTGTTGTTCGCTTACTGTAACGCCCTGTAGTTCATGCAATTGGCACACGATAAATTAGAGGTTCGTTGAAAATGCTTTTGTGCTTTTCTCAACATTTCTCAAAGCAGTTGCCGTAACTCAAGCATGAAACAAGTCATTGGAATGAAAGCTGTGTAAATCTTATACATGTACAGTACCCCATAATCGCCAATCTTGTGAAACTACGGCAAAAAAAACCAAACCTTTAAAAGCATGCTTCTTATAAATCTTTGGAAGTCAAAACAAAATAAAAAATGTGCTAATAATGTGTTCGCATAATGTTAAGTGAAGTTTGAGAAAAAATTGACTGATATATGTACATGTACACTACATACATATTTTGTACACACAAGCGGTGCAAGCAAGCTTGTCAATTACAATGTACATCTACATGTAGTACACTCTAAATGTGTACACGCACATCCTTTCTATGTGTACATATACATGTACTGTACTTTCACAATGAATATTCCTCAAGCAAGCAAGCATTGTCTTTCTTGTAGTTACCGACACCTACATGTATACACCATGATCACTTTGCAACACTACAATTGTTTAGACAAACCTGTTTATTGGCAGCACATTGATACGTGACAGGAGGTCCCAGTATTTTACAGCCACTGCGTCTCAAGTTCTCAAATGCTTCTCCTTCAAACTCATCCAGAACAAAGATGGTTTCAACTCCAGCTGGCTCCATCACATTCTCTATACCTGTCTCTGATGTCGTAAATGGCAAGCTAAGAGTCTGCAAGGCAATGCAACATGACTCAACAAAATATAACCATATGCAAGTAAATGAATACAGCAAGAATCTGGCCTGCCGGGAAAGCTTGTCTGTTCATTTCACATGCAGATATGAAAGGCAAGTTGGGAAACAAAAGGACCTAAATTACAAGTACATTTACAAATTTTTTTAAACCAAAAGATAAGTAAATGTGGCAAAACCATGGGTTTGACTTTCTCCAAAAACTACCGGTACAGACACCATAAACTGCAGGAAAAAAATACAAAATAAAATTAGACTTATTGAACTGATTTCACTCACTCTTTGGCAGAAAAAAATTCTCCAAAATTCCCATTGAGGAAATTATTAGACAGGTCAGTATTTCAAAAGCCAAAGTTGAGGTCTCTATTACCCCTATACATGTACATTTGAAAAAAAAAATATTTTCTGCATTGATTTGCACGATTGATTTCATGATTTCTGCATATAAGATTAAACAAGACTAAACAGGTGCATGCCAAACTTTTCTACAAGAGCGCATAATAATTCCATAGTCTGGTGGCATGACTATGAAACAACTGCACTGTACATGTAGATTTAAAGACTAGATGTATACATGTATGTACATACATGTATACGGTACATACCAGAGCATACATGTACATGTACACTACATGTATAGTGTATACATGTACGTGTATAGTGTACAATGTACATCATGTACATGAGCATGACTTCCAAAGCCCTGCACAATGGTTAGCCTAAAGTGAAGACGCTCCACAAGCTTTGGCAAGAATTTTCAAACTGCAGTCACAAACTCGGCAGTGGACTGGTTTTTATTTGTGTGTGCCAATCTGTTATCCTTTTGTTGCATTCTTTCAATACCTGTACCATATACATGTACATGTACTGTACAGTTGTGCTCAAAATTATTGCAAAATAACATACTTTTCTAAATTCTTCATTTGTTAAAGCTATCACTGTACATGTACATGTATGTTGGTACTTCCACTATGTCTTTTGTCTATTTGTCGCAATACACAAACCAACATGTGTATTGGCTAAACTTCATTTGCACAATAACTGATACGGCCCGGGTTTCTTTTTGCTCCAGGTCAAAATTATTCATATTAGTCATTGGTATCCATACCGGAATGACCAAGTCCTGACCTACATGTAAATCCAATAGAGAATCTGTAGAGAGAGCCGAAGACTGGAGTGATGGCCAGAAGACCATCCAACCTGACCCAGCTGGAGGCTTTCGCCAAGGAAGAGTGGGCCAACATCCCACAGGAGACATGCAGAAAGCTTAGAAAGATATAGTGGAAGTACCAACATAATACATGTAGCTTTTATAAATGAACAATTTAGAAAAGTATGTTATTTTGCGAAGGTATGAATAATTTTGAGCACAAATGTACATGTACGTATTTGAATTTATGATCTCTCATACAAAGTGTTGTGGGAATTATACAGTGTACATGTACAAGTACACATACCTTTTTTCACGTCTGTCATGATTACCGGTACCTCTGACATGTGCATATGTACATTTTTCTTGCAATTTTAAGAATGAGACCAGATAACATTAAAAACGTTTTCTTAAATGTTGACAATAAAGTAGTACCCACCTGCAAATCTTGCAGAAGCTGCTGATTGTCTACTGTCTTCTCCCCAACCAGGCATACTCTGTACTCACAATCTATATATACGGAATGGAAAAAGCTTATCATGCGAACTGTTTCCTGCACCGTTATCTACAGGTACATGTATATGTACATTGTAGCCAAGGCCCAATAAATTAACCCTAACACTCCTCAGTCCTCCAACAGGTGAAGGATTGAGGGGTGTTAGGGTTAAACTAAGTTAGACCCAGTAATACTGCATTGGTAAACGTCATGAACTGTCGTGTGTGTGGTTCGTCGTCCACCGAGCGAGCATCCGTGGGACCGCGACAGACATGCATGACATGGTGGACATACATGTAACATGGACGACAAACTACACAACTCTGGCATGTCTGCTGGGACAGTGGGAGTAGTGTTGTTATCATGTTTACGGAGCAAACCTTTTCATGCTTTTGCTTACCCCCCAGACATGCCAGAACTGTGGGGTCTGACGTCCGCCCCGCTCCCACGAACTGGAGTGGGGCAGACGTCGGACCCACAGTTTAGGGGCCGGCCAGTGGGGATACAGTACTAGTTTTTGCTTAGTTTTACCTGCATCTTGGTCTTGAACTGAAGTAACCGACATACTGACTGAAGAACTTGCAGTTACATCGCTTAATTCGTTGGTCATGTTTGCCATGTTTGCAGGAGTAAATGCAGCCATTTTCTAGTCAACGAGCAAAAATATTCCTTAAAATCGTTAATTGTGAAACATGCTGTGTTTTGAAAAGTTTGGCATTTCAGAATTTCGTTGCGGTTTTCGGAAACGACAACGTTAGTCGTTACTGTTTGTCTGGCGAGTAGCTACACCGTACCAATTCAAAACGGCCGGCGCTCCACTGCATGGCTGAGAAACAAACGCTGTGATTGGTCAGCTTGTTAATATTGAAGATGCATTTACCTGGCTGGGACGGGGAACTAGAGCAGAGTGAAGCAACAACTTGGCTGTATATAGTCTGGTGCATTTGCACCTTATTAACGATCGTCTGTTTACCTTACGGCCAGACGTACAGTACAGCGCCGTGGTGAGACTACTAATATCTGAGAGCTGGAGTCAGCCGTGTTGATTAAATTTATGTCCATTTTCTATGTCCACACTGCACGTCAAAATGAGTTCGGAACAATCCCAAATTACACATGTAATATTCGACATGGATGGGCTCTTGCTTGGTAAATTAAACGGGAAAAGATCATGTTACCTGAGCTTGCTAGCATGGCGTGGCAAAGGCCAAAGTGCAGTCAAACTTAAATTCCAGGCAAACATGGCAAAGGACATGACAGATAGATCTAGAGCAATAGGCCTTAGCCTTTTGTGAGTTAAATTTAAATAAAATCTGGGATACTGACTTTTTCAAATTCACGTGAACACGTTTTGAATTCTTTTTACAAAAAACACTTGGTATTAACCTCTTGATCCAATTATCTGAGGCAAGTTTTTGTTTTGAGGCCTAGGCCTACAACATGTAAGTTACATGAGACACCCTGCAGTTGCACCAATGCACTGTTTGCAATGTATTAGAGGGGTAGATAGAGGAAAGGAAACCATCCAACCACATGTGTACATGCAAACAGCAAAAAATGAAAACAGAAGAGCTGTGCATTTCATAGTATTAGGCCTATGGGGATTCCTGAAAGTTGATGTACAGACTCCTGAAAGTTTTCTCATAAAGCGTATTATACCAGATACTTGCCAGAGAGACAAGAAACTTGTACATGTAGAGTTGGCTGGTATGGCCATCATTGTGTACGTGTATGGATAGGGTGTTAAAAACTGGTAACTACACGTACATGTGTACATCGGTGGATATTTATACCTACTGAGCGGTTGATGGCTAATTTAGTGAAATATAAAGAATGAAAAAGATTAAGTCATATATGTTTTATTTTTGTGATACCTTTTTGCCACAGATGCATGCTGATAGGTTAAATATATGTATTTGTACCTTCCTGTAAGAGCAAACAAGAAAAAGTACTATAAAAAACCTGCCGAGTCCATTCAACGAACACAGTATTTTTTACTATTATTGATCCACATTAGGCATGTTAGGTGGCACCAGGATTTGATGGGATGGTTTGGTGTTCTTATTCCTCCATGGTTGCAGGTTTGGCTGCTTGAGCAATACATGTAGGTTGTATACTGACAAGCAGTCATATTCAGTCTACCTAGGGTTGGTGTATGATTAGGTGATACCTGAAGATTTTAAGAAAATAACATAAATGAAGATCCTAGTTAAAACTGGACTTTTTATGGTTGTCAGGAACCCAGAAGTGCATTTAGCATAATCCAGTGAATTCAAGAAACAATTTTAACTTCAGAAGGACTTGACATGTAAACTTCAGTTTTGGCATGATGTATGCAGGTTGGCGTAGCTTGATATCCTTCAGAATCCCATTCAATAATATAAGGAATAAGTATGTGCTTTGCTGGGCTGAAATGTGTGTTTAAAACCAGCTCAGGAGAATGGACGCTGCGGCTCGGGCATTATCAGCATTCAGTCTCCTGAGCCGATATTTATTCCCATGTATAAATACCTTTTTAGTCAGACAGTTAAAAGAAGTCGACATTGGACGGATTTCCAGTGATTTTATTCTACTTTTTGCCGGATATTTATGAATGTAGGTTTAGTCACAAGTTTCATAGCCTTCATAGGGCATTTGCGTTTCAACACATCCCTCTTGTTCCAATGTTAACTTTATGTGAACTTCCAATTTTTTTTACAGATACAGAAAGACTCTACACTGTTATCTATGAAGAGATTTTCCAAGAGCATGGCATTCCAGAATACACATGGGAACTCAAGCAGAAACTGATGGGACGTAAAGAGATAGAGTCAGCACAAATAGTCATCCGTGAGACAGGAATGAACATTACACCAGAGGAGTGGATCAGGCTTTTGAATCATAAGAGCCAAGAAGTGTTTCCAGCAGCAGAACTTATGCCAGGTCATACATCTCCAAGTTTAGAGCAGACTTTACGTTAATAAAGTAAATAATACAGTAAATAATTACTAGCGGGGAGGGCCATAATTAGAAACTAATTAACCTTGGGTGCAATACAAGATTTTACATAACACTTGACAGAATAGTACACATCATGTTAAATTGCATTGAGAACAAATCTATGTTGTCTTTTAGACATGTAGAATAATATGTAAACAGGATTGAATTAGCAGCATGGTTTACTGGTGGTAAAAATACTTAGAATGATCAAGTAACATATTTACTATTGAGGTTATGTACGTCAGTCATCTTCCTGGTCGGTGCTTTTGTTCCATAGGGATACACATGAGTAGACCTTTTGTGCATATCCCTTATAACAGAAGCACTGACCAGGAAGATGACTGTTGTGCATAACCCCTGTCATACTTTGGGCCCTTGATCCTATTACTTTCACCTTGTCGGCATACATGTACATGTATGTTTCAAGACTCAAACGATTGAACAGTTTCTATGTGAGGAATAGTCCAGATTCTGGCCAATGCATTTCTTGCCATACATGAAATGCCTCTAGGCCAACTCAAGTTAAGACACCTCTCTTTCTGCTTTGTATCAACGATCGGCAGAATTCTTCCCCGTCATTATCTTTTTCTCGTATTTGCTGATGACACCACGATCATTCACTCTAATTCCACCCTCAAATTCCTTATCTCATCAACTGTTAACAGTGAGCTCATCAAAGTTTCATCTTGATTCAAATCCAATCAACTGTCCCTGAATCCCAACAAAACTAAATGTATCTTCTTCCGTAAATCCAGTTCTTTTCCCTCTGTATTGCCTTCTGTCTACATTGATAATATCCCTGTCTCTATTGTCAATTCGACTAAATTTTCTGAGAGTGATCTTAAACAACAAACTCTGCTGGAATGATCACATTTCTTCAATCTCAAAAATTATTTCTGGTAACACAGGCGTTCTGTCCAAACTTCACGCTTTTCTTCCACCATCTGCTTTAGTATCCCTTTATAATGCACTCATCCTACCGAACTTAAGCTTTGTAGTATTGTTTGGGGCACACTCAAGCAACGCTTAACTTCACAAACCATTCGGATTTGCACTCTTTCAGGACCACTAGACTATACACCACTGCTATTTGCTTCACTGCGCACTCTCACACTCAAGGATATTAACAAACTGCAAATTGATGTTTCATGTACAAGTATATGCACAATCTTTTGCCCTAATGCATTGTCCTCTTATTTCACCTCAATAACTCACATCCATGATCATGATACTAGATTACGCCCCAACCATTTTTTTCCACGTACACGCACAACTTACTCTCTTAACACCCTTAGATTTCATGGACCAGGTCTTTGGAATAATATCAATAATAGTATTAAATCGCAGACCTCTCTGGCTTGGTTTAAAAGCTCCTTCAAACAGTACCTTGTCTCCCGTTATCTAGAATAGCTTCTTCTATATTCAATCATACCATTTTTGTCATGAGCAATCTATGGTGCCTCACTTAATTTCATTTTTCCCATCGCAGGTAAGATTTAAGTCTCTGTCTTTAAATTGTAATGTCTGTTGTTTTGTCCCATCCGATTGTCCCGTTTTGTCCTGGTTTTTTCAAGGCATGTGTGCAAGACCTAGTCTTTCTGATAATGCCTCCATTATGGCCATACAGCTTCTTCTTGTTTGCTTTTTTTTTCGCATCTTTACTCCTTGAATTTATTTTGTTGTCATATCCCATACATGGTATTATGAAAATTAATGTTGTTGAATTGAATGTGACTGACAACAATCATCCAGATGCATGAAATCTTTCTGTGAAAGATTGCTGAAACTGCTGTCAATGTCCTTGTGAATATCCCAGGGGATGTTGAATGCCCAAGTGGTACAGCTAGGGCAGTGTATCAAGTCATAAGAAAATTGCATAGCACTGACAGAGCTGTGGATACATGTACATTTCAGCTCAAGTGATGAAAATAACATATTGGAGTGTTTGCACTTGTTGTTGCAATGGATACTCAGTTGCCTGTAGTGTTGGTATGAAATGCATTACTCCCAGACTTGTGCAATATCTGGGATAATTGCAAATCATGAAGTTTATTTGAAGAAATCATCAACACTGAAGGTGTTGGAAATGTACATTGATGGAGTAAAAAATAGAGAATGTTACACATAACTTTGACCACCTTTTGTTGACAAGGTCCTAGTTATGAAGGTTATGAAGGTCAAATAAGTAGTCAATATTGTGAAACTGACCTTAAAATTTTGTGATCTTTTGTGTGAAAGTTTTAAGGATAATGATACAGGAATTTATAAGAAGTATGGCAAGTCAGGAAAAAACATTTTTGTGAAAGTTCAAACTCTGAACATAGACGACATTCTCTAACGTTTTCTTTTGTTTTGAATATTGCAGGAGCAGAGAAACTTGTCTGCCATCTCTTCAAGCATAAAATTCCCATTGCCGTGGCAACTGGCTCCCCAAGTGCACTGTTTGAACTCAAGACCAAGAGGCATAGTGACTTCTTCAAGTTGTTTCATCATATAGTGTGCACTGGAGATGATCCAGAGGTCAAACATGGCAAGCCTGCACCAGACCCCTACTTGGTAGCATTACATAGGTTTGGGGGAGATATACCGCCCACTGACAAAGTAAGTGCTTGGAAAAACATGTTAGCTGCAATTTCCTGTGGATGGACAAAGAATACATGTAGGGAGAGAGCATGTCAAGTACTGTATGTGACAGAGCTAATGTGATGAACCAGTACTGCAGTGGCTGATAATGAGTCCTAATGATCAATCTCACATCACCAAATACATGTATACAAATATTGTTTTGGTTGGGTTTTCCATTTTTTTTGGGGGGGGGAATGATCCTTTCGTGGGAATGCAACACCTGATGCTCAGGCCCATGTGTTTGGCACAGGCCACCAGCTTTTGTTGAAGTGCACGCCCTTACATGCATCCATAGTGGAAACAGTTTCCACCAACATCCTTCCTCTTTGTTGGGGAAGGAATACTTGCAGGGTAGATACATGTAGTTTTGCTCCATAAAAGTGAGAGATTTTCATAGAAGGAAAACCATCGAACATAACTATTCCTTCACCCGTGACCCACTGTACCACTGCATGAACAAATGGGTGGAATTCTTTCTGTAGAAAGGCCTTATTGTTTCACGAATGCATGATTGTAGGTTTAAGTGATGTTTTTATTTTGCAGGTTCTTGTGTTTGAAGATGCAATCAATGGTGTATTATCTGCACATGCAGCTGGTATGAAAGTCATCCTTGTTCCTGATCCCAGGTTAGATCAGACAAAGGCCAAAGATGCCAACTTGATCCTGTCTTCATTAAAGGACTTTGTGCCCGAGGACTGGGGATTGCCACCATACAGTTCTGCTGTTTGTTGATATCCATTCCCAATGGTAGAAACCAACGCTCAATCTTTCAGTTGTGATCATGGATGGAACCTTTTTATGCAACAACTTATTCATTAATCTTTCTTTTTATATAGGTTGTGCAGGGCAGCCATTTTTCTGATACGAGCTTTCGCTCCACAGGGATACACATGAGTAGACCTTTTGTGCTATCCCTCCATAACAAAAGCAGTTACTGGAAAGATGGCTTCCATGTACATGCATAATCTCTATGTAAGCTAATTTAAGCAGGCTTGTGTACACATAACTCTGAGGTATCAAATGGGTGATATGAAACTATGCTGTCTTTGTACAGTTTCTTCTGGATTAGGAGACCACAAGGTGTGGCAGAATATGGGGGATGATAACATTGTAGGGGACCCATGGAAGTGCCCACAGTGTATCATCAGTATATTATCTTCCTACATGTATGAAGTAGCCCCAGCCAGGGCAGACAGGTAGCCTGATAGACTGCTGAAACTTGGAACAATACTACCTCATTATATAAATTTTCTTCATTTTTAGTTTTGACTACACATGCAAAAACATATGTTTAATCTTTAGATGGTTCGGGGCTCACAACATCTGAACATTCCTAAGTCCATCTCAGCTTCCCAGGGCCGATACTAGCCTGATGCTGCCATGTCAGGCACAAATGGCTAAATATAATAACCATATCTGCCCTAAAGTTACAGGTACCCATTTACTCCTTGGTGGAGAGAGGCACATGGGGTGACTTTCCCAAGATCACGTTGCCACCCGCAGCTGGATTTGAACCCCTGACCCAATGATCAAAAGCTACAAACTCTAACCACTAGGCCACATCCCCCCAAGAGATACCAGTACTAGAAGATTTCTGTGGACATCTCAACAAAAGTAGTACTTTTGAATTTAATTTCTACAACTAAGTTTAGTTGTTGACAATTTCATTAAATGACAGTTTTGGTAAAGTATTGTTCTGCAGTAAAGCTACTGTTCGCCTTTGGATCATCTGATAGTGTGGAATAACAAAACAATTGTCGCCTGCTGATGGGATCCATGGATTTTGTACATCCTTGGAGGCAAATGGCACCCTTGGCTTCGCGTTTTTGGTGGTAGTTATCTGGTTACATGTATATCCTCGTGTACAAAACACCATGGACCCCACCAAGCATCAACTGTATGCTAAAAGCTTTGCATGGTGAACAGTTATTGCAAATTGGTTTTGAAAAGAGTTAGTGTTAAAGTGTTTGAATAATGAGAATGGTAGTCTCTGTATGCCTACATGAGACACACCAGTGTCACCTGAAGAATGTGCCTTTCCTTTACACCAAAACTTTTAGACATACTTGACAATATACCCCTGTGAGGTGTATAATTTGATACAAAAAAGTCTGACCATTACAAGATTCTAATTTTGAGCTGAATCAATAAAGATCTTTTCTGAGAATTATTGTACCAATTTCTCAACTTTCTCAATTCATTGATAGGTTATTGTACTCACTCCCTTGATAGTGGGGTCCACTCTGTGAAGAGATACGCCTCCTTTGCATGGTTTGTGTCCATACCATTGGGTGACATTGGGTCACTTAACCGGAGTTTGTACAAGCATTAGCAGCTGTTCCATGTAGGTCTTGTTGCTGACCTTCCTCAACAACTGGTACCTCTGCCTAGGCCTCATAATGCTTCATATTGGAAGTAATCTGGGTTCATTCCCAAGTCTTTTGGTTTCAATTTGCTCCAGGATGTCTCTTAAATGTACATATAATTTAGTCTGAAACTAGAAAGTACCGAGTGCTAACTGAATGAAAATCAGGTCGAGCCCCGATGGCCAGAAGTATCACACTTATGAGCATTTTAATCATGACCACCAAGCTGCATATCCCTTGCGCAGCTGAGCATTTGTGACCCACTCTGCGAAGTGTAATAAGTCGCGCAATGCCCAAACATGTTATGGCCTGTTCTATTTGGAGAGGGCAACATTTCTTCAAAACGTGATTTTGTGATTTTTCCTTTAACAGCTTCTATAACATTTACATTTTCAGAATTTGTGACTACAAACATCGATACTGGTGAATAAAGATGAAAAATTAATCATTCAGTAGGAAATCCTGCAAAACATTACGTTTCCAAGTGCCACACTTCCTGAGCTTTTTCTCGAAAAGTGCTTTTACTGAATCCAAAATGTGGATATACAAATGTCTATATATCTCCAGAATGCAGTGCACTACAGGGGTCATTCATGTATCAAATTGTAGCTTATGATGTACAAAATCCAGCCATATCAAAAACTCATAACCTGAATCTGGCAACTTATTACCCATTTTGCTAGAGCAGGTCACATTTATTTCAATCAGCACAATCCACATTCTTCCTCAGAAGAGAAACTGAACAGGACTCAAAGCACATCAAGGTTTTAAATGATGGAAAATGTTATTTCTACAGTCTTACAAATTACAAGAAGAACGGTAAATTTTAATGAATAAAAGCAGCCAGCCTTAAGACGGATACTTACGCTTCAAGCACACTAGTCCCACAATGTTTCTTTTCCATTCTATATATCTTGGCTAAATATGATCCTTTCATCGATACTGTAACTCAGCGCGTTATCGTATTGGTACGACTTCGAGATCACCAACTTGCCGATGTTCTGGTGATATTTCAGGAAAATGCCAACCAGGTGTGTTGCTGCAGGTTGTGGAAATACTTCTAAAAATGACACAAGCATGCATAACTTCCCAAAAGATGTGAAATATCGCAAAATTTGGTCCACAAAAGTCAAGCTTACACGAGCCAAGTGGACTTGACCAACGCCGAGCTCAAAACTCTGCAGCGACCACTTCAAGCCGGACTATTTTGAGCCTGCAAGATTCATTTTGCATGAAGTTCAATGGGCTGCTAAAACTGGATGCAGTGCCGACGATATTCGTACCAAGTGAGAAGTCAAAGGAAAAAACAGAAAAACGAAGAGGAGCCTTAGAGAAGCGCAAGCGGAAAAGGCTATGATATTTCCACATACGCCGCTGCAGGGAAGCCGTGCGCGCTTACTCCGAGTTTCAGACGGCCCAAATGGCACCAGACTACAATTTGTGGGTTCTTAAACATACGTCACGCCATTTGTCGGAGATTTGAGGGGGGGTGTTTGAAAAACAGTAATTAACAATAATTAAATACATTTTATTCATTTTTTTCACCATTTGTACTGATACTGACATATCCAGGCAAAACATAAAGAAGAAAATGGCTGTTCATTTAAGGAGGTCCGCATGAACCCTTTGTGTTTATAATGATAGCAACAAAAATTTTACTATAATATATGTCTTCAGAGAGTACAGATCGTGAGCATTTTGTAAAGGTGCGGCTGGGTGCATGTAGATCATTACAGTCTACTTTTAAAGGAACCTTTATCCATGATGATTTTCAATAGGCAGGCCATTGGCTGTGAAGTCTTTCCAATGCACAGCGGAGCAGTTAAGTCCAGGTTTGACATAAGAGAAGAATTTTGACCCAGACAGTCAACATTTATGGAGAAAGTACATGTACATGTTTCATACTCTCATTCTTAACAGAAAAAGGAAAAGAAGGACTGCTTAAAATACGATACCACCAGTTGTGGAATTTGCTGAAAGGACTTTTATTACACTTTGGACCTCAACAAATACTGGTAACAAAACGTTCTTTCTCCCAAAGTGCAGAATCGAACTTCAGGATAGTGCATTAAAACTCCTCACTGGACTCGTCTGCATATACATGTATCCAGAGACATTCCTATTGATGAGCCCAATTCACTGGATACCGCAGACATCTATTTGACAGCTCAGTCAGCAACTACAATGTACGTGCTGTGCTATGGATCATCTCAGTGGAGGAGCCACTCATCGGCCTCTCTGAATGTATTTGGCATTGAGCAATACAAGGCTACAGTGTACATGCACCTACAAAGCCAGGACAATAGCCATCACATACATGCACCATATCCGGTCCATAATGGTTTCTTCTGTTTTGTCTTTCAGGCCCCAGACTTTGCATTACATGTAAAACCTCTACACTGAATTTGGCTGAGGTCAAGACATGTGCAGCAATGTACACGTACATGTAAGTTCACAGCATGATGTTTGGTCTAACATGACAATGTCACTGAAGTTATACGGTCCACTTCAAGCACCTGTAAATCAAGAAACCAGAAATACACATAAGTGAATTTGATGGATTTAACTTGAGTATCATTTTATACATGATTTCATGGAACTTGAGTAACCTCGACCTTCGTGGAAATAGACTTTGGCCTTACTTTCCTTGTTAGTCTACTTATCATTTACTACATGAAGTTTTGCAGCCATGTAAATACATTCTACACATAAAAAGATATAGAATTGAACATCTTTGATAGTAGGGACAATCAAAGCTTTTATAGAGGATGTTCTGTTTACAATTTTGTAATAAAATCAGCTCTGTGTACAGTTTTGAAAGTTCATTATTTTCTTTGAGCCATGTGGCAACTCTCAAAGTTCTCTCACTAGTAAATTAAGATTTCATAACCCTTACAAAGCTGTTTCCTGTATCAAGTCAAGCAAAAATACCAACAACAATCGTGATTACTTACCACAACTAACTTATTTTAATTTTGGTCACAACTTGGGCCATCTAAATGGCCTGAAACGTGTCATAGTAGCTGAATCACTTTGTAACAAAATGCGACGGAAATAGAGCTACTCTATCACATGAAGTTTTGTAAATTGGCTTTTGTAGTGCAAGGATCATTCTTATCAACAAATCAATCAGTCATGGTCACTCCAGTAAAGGCACAGGCTTGAATTCATACATGTAAGTGACTGAAGTGATACTCTATGTACGGGTACATGTAAAGGTACATGTAAAAGCAGGAATTATTTGATCCTCACCTTGTGTCTTGATGGGTACCTAGGCACTTGACACTACAGTATCTAGCCCCACAGCTCACACAGGTATAGTTGGAAGGAAATGTGCAGTAGCTACATTAAGGTGTTAACAATCGCTGACTGAATGCTGCTCTGCATAAGCTCAACACAAATTATCAAACAGTAGGAAAAGGTGGTTGCTTGTCAGTTTGTACCCGTACATGAATCAGGGGCTCAAAGTGGAGTTTAACACAAAAATCCCCTTCATGAAGGATCAGGTCCAGGTCTTATCCCACAATCATGGCAATGTACAGCAGTGTCAGAGTGTATATGTACATGCTCGGGACCGGGGGTTGAATATTTTATCCCCAGTGTGAAACAATTTCCCTGGGGTGAGAATGGTAGTGTCAAACAGGTAGGGGTGAGCTTGTGTCAGAATGAGGATTGAAGGGTTCTCAACATGCACTTATTTGTAGCTTTTACCCAAGTAAATCAAACCAACAGCTCAAATCAAAATGAAAATGATTTACCAGAATTTCTTACATAAAGATCAACAAGGGTTATATTCCTTTAGCTTCTAATGTTTTACTGATTGGATAAGTAAAACTGAAATACTTTAAGCCTGAATCCTGGATCAGAGATCAACTACAAACACTGTGCAAAATTCACGATATCATGCATGTGTACAATTTAATTAAAATGTGTGCGTAGTAATGTTGTTTTCTAGTGCTGGGACTAGGAATAACACAATGAAAACCAAAATTCTAAAAATGTGGAACCTGTCAAATTGAAATCCTAAAATAATATCAATCAAGTTCAACTTTGGACAAATTGTTCATCAAAGGATATCCGCATACTGCACAGAACTTCCTTTCAGGAGTCTTAGACGGTGGGATGCAGGCTGTCAGATAGTTAGGTGGCTCCTGCATGCTCAGTTGCTCTTCCTCAACTAACATGTTAAAAGTCTTCCTGAAACGCTGCTTGAAGTGGTCCCCACGTGTCTTTTTCTTCTTTTTGGCTGGGGCTGCAATGTGAAAATAGTACACACATGAAGTACACACGTACATGTACATTTATGTAACATAAACTGGCCTAGTAAAGGAAATATCATTGTGATTTGATTTACTTCTAGAAACAGGACAAAGATAGATAAAGTAGACAATGTGAACTGAAACAGACTTCTCAAAGAAGAACTACTTGTGTTACACAAGCAGAAGGAAGAAACTTGGGCCCAAATAAACAATTGGGCAGAAGGGTGGAAGTGGGGTACTACTCCTATGAGGAAGAAAGCTCAGGGAAAATACATGTATGAAAGGTTCTCTTCCTTTTGTTGTAAATTCAAGGGTGTGAGTGACCACTTAAAATTAAAGCTGAAAACAGCTGGCAATAAGCTGAAATGTAAGAAGTCCCCAGATGTTTGTATACAGCAGGTGCACAAAAAAGCCGAAACTCAGGATTTCAGGTAAGACTTCCATAAGAGTTCTCTGAATACATGTATAAGAACTCGGGAACTGTTTGGATGAAAAGTTGAACTGGAATAAGAACTCACAAATCGTAGCTGGTGAGGCAAGCCAAAGGTTGTATTTCCCGAGTATTCATAACTTAAGGGAGTTCAGAGTGGACAACATCAACCACTTGCTGCCGGGTGGAATTTGCACATGCAGGACAAGTTACTAGGCATCAGGATTTTCCGTTTTCAACATTTTTGAAAAAATTCATAACTTCATTTACACCCACACGAATGACTCCTCTGATCTGACAGGCAACCTCCATTGATGCCTGAGTATTGAAACCAGGCCTGCTGCCCATTAAAGATACCCAAGATTGTGCGGTGTTGCATAATTTATGTAATTACATACAGTAGAGTACGTGTATTGTTACTTTTTGTAGAAATAGTTTGATGTGTATTCCACAGTGAGACGAATTTCGTTAACAAAACTACAATTTCCAGACGTTAAGCCTGTTTCCAGATATAACTTCCTCTATGCCCACTATCATTAGTAAGTAAACTGAGAATGGTTTTTAGCCTTAAATTGATGTGTAAACGGACGAAAAAGTGTGGTCAGAAAGCATAATCACACATGCACACGTACATGTACAGTACATGAAGTTGACTGCAGGAACTCCAATGTTCAATAAAGATTTTGCCATGAATCCAGAGTGCTACACTCTCAAACTGGCATTCAATGTAAGTTTGCTGATGACTATTGGCAATGGAAAACTGCTTTTAAAAGGGCAAAATCACCTGTCGTGCCTGTTCATCTGTAGACAGGCCCTGCGAGTATGTTCTTAACTCACTCAGAATGCCCTGTAGTTTATGGATTTCATGCCAGATAAATTACGATCAATTTGACGGTTAAAAAAGCCACTATGTTTTTCTTGATTTTCCTCAAAGCAGTTAACTCAAGCAGGGAACAAGTCAGTAAAATAAAAAACCCAAACTTTTAAACGTCTTAAATCAGCCAATCTTGTAAAATCTTGTAAACCAACGGTGTCACCTTCCTTTAACTTACCTCCTTCATTGGCATCAAATTGTGGCAGTTTTTTATTAGGAATGACAAGGTTGGCCTGGGGATCTTCTTGAAAATTATCCTGCTCAAGTGCCTCAAGCTGTTTGCGTAACCTCTTGGCACGGGTGTAACTATCAAGAATTCGCTTTTGCATGCTGTCTTTAATACGACCTGTGTGAAGGAATAAGTTCATTTACATGTACAAAGAACCACTGCAACAAATAACTGCCAGATCCATTCAATATACACCAAAGAATCATGCAGCCACAAGTTCATCATGTACACATAGAAAAGTAATTAATATGATCAGTTGATCAGAAAGGAATGCAGAGCAACATTCAGTGATCTGGGCCCAATTTCATGGCACTGGTTGCCACAGAATTCTGTGATTACAATCTCCATTCTGCATTAACCACGCTAGCAGAAAAATTCTGCACTAACCCTTTAAGCACAGAATCCTACGTTACATGTACAGGATGTATGCATGCGCACAAGCCAAAATTCCTCGCTAATCCGTGAAATATGTTCGCCATAAGCACAGAATTTTCTGCTATGGTAAGCGCTGATTTTTCACTTGCGGTAAGCAGCGACATGAAATAGGGCCCTGGTGATTTATCAATCATGCAGTGAAGACCCCAAGTGACAGGTTGATTATGCAAGAATGGTGGCCATTAATAGATTGTTAAAATGTAATAAATGTAATGTATGCCCACTCACCCTTGCTCTATGCCCACTCACCCTTGCTCTATGCCCACTCACCCTTGCTCTATGCCCACTCACCCTTGCTCTATGCCCACTCACCCTTGCTCTATGCCCACTCACCCTTGCTCTATGCCCACTCACCCTTGCTCTATGCCCACTCACCCTTGCTCTATGCCCACTCACCCTTGCTCTATGCCCACTCAACCTTGCTCTATGTCCACTCACCCTTGCTCTATGCCCACTCACCCTTGCTCTATGCCCACTCACCCTTGCTCTATGCACTAATACATGTAAATACATAAACAGACCACTTCAAAATTGCAAATGTGTCCCAGGTATAATAAGGTAAATTGCACGCCAGTAATTTGGGTCACCGTTGAGTTTCAAATCTGAAATGGCAAGGGTTTCTTCCCAAGGTCCTAGTTGCCCAACTACATGTACAATTACACCGCTACAGTTGACCTAGGCCTACATGGAGTGAGCCTCACAGTTCTTAGCCTTTTGTCAAGGCCTTCATGACTGTGTGTGTAACTGCAAAGCGACTGGACAGGAGACCAGGTAAGTGGCGCAGCCACAAGGCCTTTTCCAACTTGATTTTGGCTTTTGTGTTGAATTATTCATAAGCTTTCTGATATACATTATTCATAAATTTCATGTAAATAGTTGAAGCAGATGAGTTTCCCAAATACATGTACATGTAAATGGCATATCAACTCCAAAGCTTACGCCATGTTTCCATCTGGTTTTTCAAGAGGGCAATAAGCGGTGAGATGACAACTATGATGCTTGTTGGTGGGGGATGGTTCTGACATTGGAGTAACACTAACAAGTAGAAGTTCATCAAGGTTGAATGGTCAAAGCAAAACGGCAGTGCTTGAAATATTGAGCTCTTAGTCTTACCATATCCCGTGGGTAAAGATGAAAATGTCACGCCCGTGTACGGATACTTCAATTGCCTAACGATGCAATGGTTTTAACTCGGCAAGGTAAAGTTTTCCAGCAGCATACATGCATATTCTATAGAACTGTCCAAATACTGCTCAGACAACTGACCTGCACTCACGGCTCCCGACACACTTGACACACTTGCCATCTTTCGTATACTTTTAATTTGCAAAATAAGTTAATGTGTGCTGACCCCCTCGCTTATGATTGGTTGGTATTTTTGCTACCCCGCTAAAACATAAAGAAAAACATAAGACATTCCTGACAAGTTGGAAAAGGTCGAGGCTGCGCCACTCGTGCATGTGGTCTCCGGTCCAGCCGCTTTGCAGTTACACATAAACACAGTACAGTCACAAAGGCCTTGACGAAAGGCTACACAGTTCTGAGAGTAGGCATTAGTGTCACACGTTAAATAAAAGTTCACAGTTTCCCCTGATACATGTAATCTTCTTCAACATGTTAAAAACTCAAAACCCTGACCTTTTTCATGTTTGACAACATCAACCATACAGTTAATAATAAAATAAAAGTTCACAGTTTCCCCTGATAATCTTCTTCAACATGTTAAAAACTCAAAACCCTGAACTTTTTAATGTTTTGACAACATCAACCGAACAGTTGTTGAGCCATGTTGAGGATGATAGTCATCTAGGCCTACCAAAGTGAATACAAAAGTTAAAATTTGGGTCTCTCTTCTAAGGTTTCCATAGGCCAGGTGGCAGTAGTGACATTGTTACGCCCCAACTGTAGCATCTGTCCCAATGGCAGGTAGGGCCTACTCCGCCAACGAAAACAGCGACCATGGCCACGTACGCGCGTACCAGCCAGTCCAAGGATCGGGTTACACAATGTTTTCTTTGATCAGTCCGTATGCAGGGTTCTGCCCAGGATGGTTTTAGTGCCGGCAGGACTATCTAAGCGGAGCGCCACCATCGGTTGGCGCGGAGCGTACCAGAAAATGTTTGGAATCTAAAAGCCCCCATATGGCCGGAAACAGCACTTTCTGGGTATTTTCAGCTGTGTATACACAGTCTAGAATTAGGGATCTCATGTCTGAAATTTCTGAAATTTAATAAAAAAATTAAAAATTTGTAATTTTGGTCAACTAGGATGAGGTGATAATTTTCGACGGGCAATTAAATTAGAAAAAAAGAGTAGAAATAAATATTGATTTTATACTGTAAATCCCTTTAATATTGAATTAATTTCTATCTCTATGATGCCCATAATTTTTCATTGCTATTCAAATCATTTTTCATTTTTTTTGTGTGTTGAAAATAAGGCGAAACATGCAAAATCTTGGCGGAATATTTTCCTTATTTTCTTTGTACAAAAGTTCA